TTAGAGCATAAGGCATTTTGGGCTATTAAATTATTGAATTTCAATTTAAAGAATGCAGGTGAAAAGAGATTATTGCAATTGGATGAATTGGAGGAATTTAGACTGCAAGCCTATCAAAATGCTAGCATTTATAAAGAAAGAACAAAAAAATGGCATGATAAAAGGATTGTGAATAAAGAGTTTACTCTAGGACAACAGGTGTTGTTATACAATTCTAGGCTCAAACTTTTTCCAGGTAAATTAAAATGTAGATGGTCTGGTCCCTTTGTGATTAAGCAAGTATTCCCATTTGGTACAGTTGAAATTTCAACTCTCAATTCAGAAAAAAGTTTTAGAGTAAATGGTCAAAGATTGAAAAGGTATGTTGGGGGTGAGTTTGAAAAATATAAGGCATGTGTTTCATTAACATCACCATGTAACAATCATTCTGATTGAAAAAAATAAAAATAAAAATTAAATTAAATAAAAAATAAATAAAAAAAAAAAGAAAAAAATATTTATTTTAGAAGAACAGAACCCTAAGACATATTTCACGTTGGGGGTTTCTTTCCTTCTCCTTAGTGCGGCACACCCACCTTGTTCCATACTCCTCATCCACTCCGTCACTTCACCATGTCAACTCGGATAAAGAGCCGCTGCTCAGGCCATCGTAAGATCCACACCGGCACCAACAACGCAAACCCCACGCCATCTCGACAACGACCAACTCCGGTCTCTGTTCCTGCAGAACCATCTCCGATATTAGGGACTTCGACCAGAAAATGGTCGCGGTCTTCTTTTCCCTCTGATGAAAATGTCCACGGCATTAGTTGCGAGAATGAAGAGCAAAAACAGAGGTATGCTTCCTTGATTCGTAGAACCATTCTTCTGACGCGCTATTTTGATGCCACTTCTTTGAACACATTGGGCATGTTAGAAGAGATCAATTGGATGTTGGGGAATGTTGGTTGGAACTCTTTCGTCAACTTGAACAACCCAGCTTATGAGAGAATCACTATAGAATTTCTTAGCTCAGTGAATGCATAAATTTTGCAAGGAAAAAATTGCACAGAGGGGTTGATTAAGTTTAGATTGCATAACACTAATTATACTCTTGATTTAACTGAGTTGAATGTCATTTTTGGGTTTCCTAGTGGAGGTGAGAGAAGATATCCTCGTGCTTTTAATGAACATTCCTTTTGGCACCAATTATCTACCTCCGCTAACTTTGTTTCCTCAGAGTCTAAAGAGTCTCATATTCATCATCCCTATTTTCAGTATGATCACCGATTGTTAGCTCATACTTTATTTGCTCGGGGTGATAGTACTGCTGCTGTTAGGAAATCAGAATTATTATTCTTATGGGGGATGGTCAACGATGTTCAACTGGATTCAGGTTCATGGTTAGCTCGTCAATTCACTAAGATAGGAAAAGCTTCATCAGGAAAAATAGCAATTGGTGGATTGATAACTCCAATCGCATTACATCTCAATATTCCTTTGGAAGATGATAAGGCAATAGTCGGGACATCTCGCATTGATTTAGAGATGCTGATAAATAACGAAATGTTGGTCAAACAAGATGGTCACTATTGTTTAGTAATGAATTTTGTTGAAGACATGTCACCACAACCACTTCCTAATCCAAAATTTACTATTGTGCGTGGTCTAGCAAGGTGGACATTTTCAGATTTGAATTCCCAGACTACCTCTCATCCTCGCCCTAATCCACCCTCGACACTTCCTTCTGTTTCCCTTGATTCTCATGCTGACGTGGTTACTCGCATCACTCAATCGCTTGTTGATCTCCGCACTCAACACCAACGCCATTATACCGAATTCGTGCAGTTTCGGGATTCCCAACTTCTTCATCAACAACGCATGGAACAATTGCTCCAAGAGGTGATGGAATTCCTCCGCTCCAACCAACCATAATTTTGTGAGTTTTATCCCTTCTAGTCTTAGTTATTTTGCTTATGTTGGGGACAACATAAACATTTAAGCTTGGGAGGGTCAATTGCATATCATTTTGTTGTTACATTTGCATAACATATACATTGAATTGGGAATTCATTATCTTAACTCAAGTCTTAAGTTTGTTCAGTGATATTTTATGAAGCATACTATGCTTATCTGTCATGATTATTTGTTGGGAAACTTCACACACTACATAGGAAGTCTGGACACTATGACACTTAAGGAAGAAAATTTTTTGAGTCATAGAGTAAAAAGGATATGAAAGTTTTTAAACTTTTTAGGTTTCTATGGTGACACTCACTACATTTGGTTACTGGAGAATTGTCTGTTAGTTCACAATAATGTAAAAAAAAAAAAAAACATAATAAGTGAAATGACACCCCTTTGAGACTGTGTGAGTTACTGGGGAAAGAAGCACTCCTTTGAGACCGGGTGTGGCAAGTGCAAAGCATCTGAGTGGAAGATCCATGTTTAGTTGGCAGGTAACTGTCTTCTAGGCCAGAACCTAAGAAAAAGTTTTGTAAAGAAAAAATAAAGCTCAAAAATTGTCTTCCTTTATGTCTTGTGCCTTACATCCTTTCCTCAACTCACTTAGGGACCCAATAATTGTGGAATAAATACTTTTGGAATATCATTGATTGAATTTGGATTTGAGACAAGACGATGTATTCCCAATCAAAAACACTCATCATTTTGTTTACATTATCGTCCTGTTTTTATTAAATTCTCTTTGCTTGAGGACAAGCAAAAGTCTAAGCTTGGGAGAATTTGATGAGTGGATAAAATATCATTACATTCATGCATTAATTTAGGTTAATTTCATATGTTGTTGCATTATGGGAACGATTTCATCATGCATTATCGTTATTTTGGATCATACATGTGGTTTGTGCATTGTTCTTGTAAATAGGTGTTTGGAGGTTTAAATTCATAGTTTGGAGGGAGTTGGTGTCAAGATAGAAATATTTCATATCAGCAAGTTCCACAAGTACCTTGTGAAATGTTCCACAACCTGTGGATTTGGTACCAGAATGCAAAGATCAAGATCAGAGAGCTCCACAGGTGAGTTGTGGATGTTTCCACAACCTGTAGATTTGTGGTTCAGAAGGCACAGTTGAAGTCAGAGAGTTCCACAGGTGGGTTGTGGATTTTTCCACAACATGTGGAAATTCAAGACAGTTATGAGAAGTGGTAACTACCTCAACAAGTGGAGAAAAAACGTGGGACACCCTATAAAGAAGGTGGAACGAAACTGAAAAGGGGGGAGAACCATTCTAGAATTTTTTACGTTCTAGTTATTATCTTTTAGCAATTTTTACATTATGCAGAACTGATTTTCCTGTTGTTAGAGGATTGATGTAGTACTCTGAATTATATTTTCTTGTTCTTGATAATTGATGTTTAGTTAATGGTCTTTATCTCAGTGTTCTATTTATAATTTTCAAGTTCATTCCACGAGCAGTTTCACAATTGGAAGATTGGAGGTTGTTCGCGATCCTAAATATAACAGGTTAGGGTTTGTCACAATTGGGAAATTGGGCATATATCTAATTAGTTTGCAATAGAGAAGATTATTGTTTTTTAATGATTCTATTGAATGGCGTAATTGACCTAAGGGATTGAGGGTTCGGATTCAATGAATAGTTTTGCCTACTAAGGGATTAGGGGTAAAACAACTCTGGGTAAACTCAAGTGGATAATTACATTTCTTGCATCAATTGAAAGGACTGTAATTATATAGGGAAGGGTATGAAATCAATTCTCTAACCGATCTTATTTTGACTAAAGTTCTTATTATAATTCTGTGTTTGTTTTCTTTTATCCAATTTTTCAATTGCTCAAACTTACGTACATTAGGAATCTAGTATTCAACAAATTTAATCCTAGAGGACGATATTTTATTACTACGTTAACGATTGGTGCACTTGTAAAAAATGATCATCACCCTTTCAAAAGAAATGGACGACTTATGTTTGTGATTTTTCCACAGGAAGAAGGGGGACAATCAATAGCATTTCCTTGCTCATTCGTGGTACATATTTGTTGGACTAGAAGCACCAAGAAGATCACCAATAACTCCATCTCTCTCCACATGACCTATGTTGCAGACTTGTGATCAAGAGACTTGGATTATGGGACTTCTTTGTGTGACAATGTTTGAAAATTCAAGCGCAGGCTTAGATTTTGACCAAGAAATTCTCTATCTGGATTTCTACACTGCAATGAAGTAAACAAATATAAAAACCGCGTGAAATAAATTAAAAGAGGCCCTGAGTGTGGTTCTGCAAAGTTCGATTCCATATCGATCACGCTGAGGAAAAAGTAACGCATTTTCCCCTTTAGAAAGCTGTGTAATAACCTTTAAAAGTTAAAAACGACGACTTAGACTGACTTTGACCGTGATTTTTCTCTGGATTCCATCATCACCCTATTAATAAAGGAAAATGCGCATCACGTTCTATTCCAAAAAGAAAACTACCGTGTTGTTGGTAGGTATAGCTTAGTATCTTCCAAAATTTAATTCCATATTGATCACGTTGTTAGCAGGTATGGTATTTTTCTCTGAAAGTTGTGCGATGATTCTTATAAGTTAAAATGCAGACTTACACTGGTTTTGACTGCAATTTCTATCTGTATTCCTGAACCTAATGTAATAACTAATTAACAAAACAAAAGTAGACAATAATTGACATAGGCACGTAATTTTGTTTAGTTCACTTATATCACGTTCTTTCCCCCAAAAGAAAACAAATTCCCACATTGTTGCCATGTGTTAGTACCACCGCGTTGTGGATAGGTCTGGCTTAGTAGTGGTGGTGCTTTTCCAAAAGTTGATTCCATATTGATCACGTGTAGGCAGGTATCGTATTTTTCTCTTTAATTAAATTGTACGATGCTTTAAAAAGTTAAAACGGAGACTTAAGCTGACTTTGACTGCAATTTCTATCTGGATTCCTGAACTGATAAACAAAAATATAAAAAATTCCGTGGACATTAGGTTCTTATCGAAAAGAAAACAAGCCCTCGCATTGTTGAGAATTAAGATGGCAAAGTCTGGAATACCGTCCCTGCATGGTTATTGCATATTCATCACACTAATGCTATTGCTAATGCTCATTCCTATCGAAGGTATCGGCAGTCATAAGGAGTGCAGCGAGTTGTCTTGTGGGCCTAACCAATCGCCTATTATTCGATTTCCCTTCCAAATCGTCAAGGGGGTCAAAGATGAATGTCCTCATCCTGGATATTGTCTCTATTGCACTCAAGAAAAGAACACCATGTTAGTCCTCCCTACAATACAACTCCGCGTCAGGGCCATAGACTACGAACTTCAACAAATTTACTTGGAAGACCAGAACCATTGCCTTCCAAAAATGTTTCTGAACCACACCAAATTTTTTATTGATTATTACCATACCGAATCACAGAGCTTGATCTTCTTTGACTGTTCTTCAGTTGGGTATAGACACCTCAGAAACAGATATAGATACTCACAAGATATGATCTCCTGTCCGATTTACGTTGCTGATTCTCAAGAAAGTGTCCTGGATTTGGACCTGACATTCTGTTCCAGGAAGTTCGACGTCACTGCACCTGCCACGGCATACGAGTTGCATCAGAATCAGTTGGTGTTGAGATGGTACAAACCAGATTGTAATACGTGCGAAGCGCAAGACAAAAGATGTAAATGGAAGAACAACAGCACCGAAGTTGTCGAATGTTTTGATTGCTATGACCGCAAGGGCCACCAGAAAAGAATTCCGAATTTCAGATCTTTTGTTGTTTCAGCTGCAGGTGAGACCAGATCCTTCCACGCTACTTCACTTAACTTTTTTATTTCTCTCTCTCTTTTTAATCAAGTCTCCTACAGTTATTGTAGGTTCAATTCTTTTGGGCCTGCTAATCATTGTCGCTTTTAAGATTTTCCGCTGTTTTAGAAAGAAGGAAGAAGACCAAGCAAGAGTGGACAAGTTCTTAGAGGATTACAGGGCAGAAAAGCCTACAAGATTTACCTACGCTGATGTCAAAAGAATCACAAGTGGTTTTAAAGAAAAACTAGGGGAAGGAACTCATGGAGCTGTTTTCAGAGGCAAACTTTCAAATGAGATTCTCGTGGCTGTGAAGATCCTCAATAACACTGACGGAGATGGAAATGAGTTCATCAATGAAGTGGGAATTATGGGGAAAATCCACCACATCAACGTGGTTCGTTTGCTAGGCTTCTGCGCCGACGGGATCCATCGTGCTCTTGTCTTCAATTTGTTTCCAAAGGGTTCGCTACAAAGCTTCATATTTCCACCCGATGACAAGGACCATTTTCTTGGCTGGGAGAAGATACAAGACATTGCTCTTGGTATAGCTAAAGGGATTGAGTATCTTCATCAAGGTTGTAACTATCCCATTATTCACTTTGACATCAATCCTCACAATGTGTTACTAGATGACAACTTCACTCCAAAGATTTCTGATTTTGGCTTAGCCAAATTGTGTTCCAAGAATCGTAGTTTGGTGTCCATGACAGCTGCTAGAGGAACCTTGGGATACATTGCACCTGAAGTTTTCTCCAGGAACTTCGGAAATGTGTCCTATAAGTCTGATATTTACAGTTACGGAATGTTGCTGTTAGAAATGGTTGGAGGAAGGACGAATGTAGACATGTCATCCGCACAAAATTTCCATGTTCTGTACCCAGATTGGATCCATAACCTAGTTGATGGAGACATACACATCAATGTTGAGGATGAAGGTGACGCTAAAATTGCGAAGAAGCTAGCCATTGTTGGACTTTGGTGCATTCAGTGGCAGCCAGTGAACCGTCCATCCATAAAATCTGCCATACAAATGCTAGAAACTAAAGAGGAAAACCAATTAACTGTGCCTCCTAACCCATTTCACTCAACAACTTCCACTACTGTTAGGGGACGTATTTCAGGAAGAAGACCTTTGGAGTTGGAAGCAATTCAAGAGTGAGAAAGCAATCATAACTCTCACATTATCAAATTTGTGTTTTCTCGGTTTATTCTCATTAGGAGAGAAAATTAGTATTTTAATTGTAGAAAGGGTAACGAGTGTATTTTAGTTATATTCATGTACACACTTTAATGACATCAGATAACACTTAGCAGATTGATCTTAATTTTTTTAATGTCATATAAAATTAAAAAGAAAATGCATTGAGAATGGATTATTTACTATACAACTGACAATTCATTATATAATATAATAATAAATATAATATTTAAATAATGTTATAATTATTATTATTATACCAAATATAACGTGTTATTAGTATTATTATAGTATTAGTATCTTAAGTCAGAAAGATAATATTCAAAGAATAAGTATTTTTAGAATATAGGGAACGATCTATTTGATCATTTTGTTTTTATCAACTCTGATGAAATAGAAACCCCAATATTTCAACATATTTTGTGTTTAAAATGGAATGATTTTGTTGTTTAAATTTAAATAAACAATAAAAAAATATTTTAAAAATAAAAAGTAAATTTTACATAGTCTCTCTATACTATTTATTTTATAACTTATATATAAAGTAAATTTTACATTTGAATATGTTAAGTAAAAATAATTTGAAATAAATTTTTAAGTTCTCGAAATATTACTTATTTTTGTATTGAGTATTTTTCTTCTATTAAAGTAGTTAATAAATTATAATTTTTTTTTAATTATATAATATTCATCTTTATTATTACGTTAAATTTTTTTAAGTGATACTCAAAATACATCATTGTTTTTAAATACATTAACTTGTTTTTTATCATAATAATCTAAAAAAATTCATCAAATTGATCCATAAAAATAAATTAAAGAAAATTTAATATGTATTATTTTGATTAAGGATCAAAGTGTCTCGAGTTTCATATCCGTTATGATAACATTGTTAGGGTCACGAGGGTAAAGGTTGAGAGTGTCTCTAGCTATGATAATATCGTTTACGAGGGTAAGGATTGAGAGCGTCTTTGGCTATGATAACATTGTTAGGGTCATGAGAGTAAGGATCGAGAGTGTCTCTATCTCATGTCCGCTCAAATCAATTTTTAGACAAAAGATTAATGTATATAAGAATGAGTTATAAAGTTTATTACATAATTAGATCTCTTTATATATTATTATATAATATTCAAAAGATAACAATAAACTGAAATATAATAATTTATAACCCATAAAATAATAATTAATATAAAATATTATAACAAAATAAAGATAATTAATAATAAAATAAATAAAAATAATATATTTAATAAATTTGAACCGATAAATGAATTATAAGATTTATTACATAATTAGATCTCTTTATACAGTATTATATACTATTTAAAACATAACTGAAATATAATAATTTATAACTCATAAAATAATAATTAATATAAAATATTATAACCAAATAAAGATAATTAATAATAAAATAAATAAAAATAATATATTTAATAAATTTGAACCGATAAACACGATTAATCAACTAATAATTTTGGACAGGATAAATTTACACATGTATCTTAACAAACATGTGGGTAATAACACTTAAACACCTAACTGAAAACTTTTTATTCATTAAATCCATTTTAAATAAATAATTTATTAAATACTCAATAAAAATATTTCATATAATTAGAACATAAAAAGTCTTTTAAATATTTGAATATGTTAAGAAAAATTAGTTTTACATGAGGTCTCCAATTATTTTCAGAAATTGTTATTATAAAATGTTTAACTTTTTACAATAATATTTTATAATTTTTAATTTATAACAGTAAAAAACATAAAAGTAGTTCTAAATTAAATAATAAAATTTATATTCTAAATTTTAAATTAAAATCAAATCAAAATTTATTTTTACATTTTAAAAAATTGAACTAAATTCAACATCGTATACTTTAATTATTCTTACAAATAAGTGTGTACTTGTAATAATTTATACATATCTTGTCTTTTCCTTTCGGTGTACTTTGTTATGAATTTTTTAGTAATTATTTTTTGTACCAATCATATGACTAGAAAAAAATGAAACACCAACTACTGAAAAATTATTAGAATATTGCATGAGGTGGAGGGTTTAAGAGTTAAATAAAATAATGTATAAATGGTATAATCTAAGTTTATATTTGGATTGGGATGGGATTTGAGGTGATTAAGATTGAATTGTGAAATTGTTTGGACTAGTAAAAAGATGGTAGATTTAAATGAATTTGAGAAGATTTATTATAACAAATATAATTGATATAACTGAATATAAAAAATTGAATAATAATTTTTTAAGTATAATAACCAAAATATCTTTATTATTAGAATAAATAAATTAAATAAAAATGATAATTATGATATAATTGAATATAAGAATATTAATTAATTTATATTATATATAAAATTTAAATATATTAATATTATTTAATATATAAGTATAACTAAAACATATGAGTTTTTTATTGCGTGGGATTCATATATAAATTATTATAAATTCACGCAAATATACATATTTATGTAAATAATAGAAAGTATAAAAATAATTTTAATATATTTTTTGTTAATATAAAAAAGAGGATGGAAGGTGAAAATAGATGAGAGAAAATTTTATAATTGATTTAAAATACTAAAAAAATAATTTAATAAAATAATTTATTCAATTACTAAAATATTCTTAATTAAAATTTCATAAAAAAATATTTTATAAAAAAATAATTAATTAATTTAAAATTTTTAAAATTATATAAAAATAAATTATTAATTAAAAATTTATTTTAAATACAAATTAAAAAATTAAAATATAATTAAAATTTTTATAACAAAAATAAAATAATAAAAAAAATATTGATAATAAAAATAAATATAAAATATTATATAAAAAATAATTAATTTTAAAGTAATTAATTTAAAAATTTAAAATTTAAAAAAATTATTAATTATAAATCATGTATTAAAAAAATTAAAATATAATAAAAAGATTTATAATAAAAAAAATCAATAACATTATTACAAAAATAAATTTATATTTAAATATAAAAATAAATTATATATATATAATAAATATAATAATATTTTTTAATATAATCATTATTCACATTTATACTGTGGATTAGATTATTCACCTTTATGTAATCGATTAGCTGTGTCTCAAAATTATGATATGCAGATATTTTTCAAAATTTTATGATTCATAGTTTATTTATAATGTAATTTAATTATAATAAATATTTATATATATATATATATATATATAATATAAATTTATATTAAAAATGATGAATTTAATATAAGTAAAAATAATATAAATAACTAAAAATAATATATAATAATAAAAAATTGTAATTTAATTTATATTTAATACATTGGTTATATAAAAAAATATAAATGATAAAATAAAAAAGAATTAATAGAAAATTCATAAAATTTCAAAGGATAAAATATACTTTATATAATTTTTCTTCTCAAATTTTCTCTTTTTCTAATAAAATTACTGTTATTTCATTCCACTCATTCGTCTCCCCTATTTTTGATATCTAAACAAAATTAATCCGCACACGTCCCAACTTCGCTTCTTCCTACTATCTGGAAACAAGGACATTTTAAATTTAATAGTAGACATTACCTTGTAGGTGAGAAGTTCACTGAACAAACAAACATTTATCAAATACTTTAAGTAATCTCAAGTCTAATCATAGATTTAATGCTAAAGATAAACAACCTCAACATTATAAGACTCTTTCTTGAAATTTTTCTTCAATAAGCTAAGCTATCATCTTCAACTTTCAAACATGCAATACACCAAGTTGACTTTTTATTTTATTTTTATTTCCATAATCGCATGCTGAATGTGATTTTTTAGCTATAGCAATAGTTGATTTGTTTTACACCCGTATAACAGTTGCAACATTTTTAACCACTCCATCGTCTCAAAACAATTTATAAAAATACAAGATTAGCATTAAATTTTCAACGTTGGCCAAAAGTCAAAGTTGAAATAAAATCAAATTCTCAGAGTTGAGAAAAGCGTATATTATCATGCGAAAGAGAACTACAACTGTTGAAACACACATAAGTTTGGTTTAAATAAATTTGCGATTTATATAATATATCACTTTTTATTTTAGTTTCTTTGCATATTTTGAAGTAGTCGTTGTAATGAAAAAAAATGACATAAATTAAAAATAAAAATTACTTGCATATTATAATGACAGAAACGGAAAATGAGTACATTACAAGAGCTAAAAATAATAGTAAGCATAAGAGAAAAGTTACAATAATCATTTAAAAACCAATTTTATTAGATTAAAAAATAAAAAATATCAAGGTACAAAGATATATTTAAATATAAAAGGTTTTATTGTAGTATATATTGTAATTAGAGATGACAAAATGGGTCAATTCTCATTTTAACTCGGCCTTTTGTATGTTAAAAGCGAGGCGAGACAAACTAACTCGTTATAGTCATGATGGATTATAGGTCTTGATAGGTTGACTTCGTCATACTTTTTAAAAAAATTAATTTATTTTTTTTAAATCAAAAATTTCAATAATAAGATTATCATTTATTTATCAATAATTTAATATATATTTTAAGTTAATAATATAAATTAACTAATTATTTTAAAAAATTATAATTTAAAACAATAATAAAATTTATATAATAATAAATAATAACAAATATATATATAAATGACATTAAAACTTGTAAATTTATATTTTTTATATTAAAAAATTAAAATACTTAAAAAAAATTTATTTAATAAAACTTCACATTATTATCCTTTCTTAAATAATTCTTACATCTTTAATTCAAGTTATAAAGATAAACACAATCAATATTAAAAATGAACAAAAAAAGATACGAGAAGTAACTAAGAGAGAGAAAAAAAACTTGTGTTTGAAGAAAGAAAATATTTCTTGAAAGTAAATTTTTTTTAATTATCATCTTACAAATTTTTTCTTGATATATTATCTTTATAATTAATTAT